GAGGCCCCGGCGCCGCGGGGGGACGGGGGTCGCTTTAGGCTGCGGACTGAGAGGGGCCGCTCCCGGCGCGCCGCTTCCCTGTCCGTGGGGCACGAAGGCCCGTCCAGGCGGACCCTAGTGCCTTGTGCTTGGGCGCTATTGATTGTCTGTCAGTGCTTGCGGACCCCATTCTAAAATTGTTTGCTCTTGCTGTGCCTTGTACGAGGGTTCTTTTTAATCTATTTTTGGGGTTGTTTTGGTTCTTTTTAAATGAGGGCGAGGACGCTGCTTGTGTCCGGAGCCGTGGATGATAGGAAGGCGTCCAGCCCGACTCGGTAAACCATGGCGTATCAGCTGTACAGAAACACCACGCTGGGGAACAGTCTCCAGGAGAGTCTGGACGAGCTCATACAGGTGCGTCTGGGGTTTAGGGTCTGGGCAATTAGCTTCATAAAAAGAGACGTTAGTCATTTAAACGGCTTTGTAGTGGTTGTTTTGGGGTACTTGTGGCCAACGTGTGGAAAACTTTCTGATCGAATTCAAAAGCTATTGGTATACTCCATTCACGTGGTAAGTATTTTTCATAATGTCCTAGACTAAGGAAAATGTTTTATGTAAGTGGTATTTTCTGTTGCATGGCCTGGTAAATGAACAGCTGGATTAATCTGGAGCACTGTAATGATCTCCTGCTCCTCTGGTTGTTGCCAATGGATATTTATTAGAAGAAATCTTTGTGTCACACAAAAAATCATCTGAGCACATTGTTTAGTGTTAAAATAGGGAAAGGGAATTCAATATAGGAACATAATACTCCTGTAAATTGCTCTTCTAGACATCTACTTCATGTGAACTTTATTTTGATGTTTTTAATCGTTACTGCATTTTTGAGTTTACTTTGCGAAGTTGTTTTTTTTTCATATACTTCAGTCACAGCAAATCACTCCTCAGCTGGCCCTTCAAGTGCTACTTCAGTTTGATAAAGCTATAAATTCAGCACTGGCACAACGAGTCAGGAACAGAGTCAATTTCAGGGTAAGATTAACAATATATAAAAGTTTTTCATGAGCTACAGTAACTAAGCGTCCATGCAGAATGTCATTAAATGCTGCCTGCTCTAAGCAAAAACTTATCAAGGTCCCATTTTGACCTTGAAATAATGACTATTTGCATGTATATTCTGTATGCAATTGTAAGGTTTGTTACCTTCTAACTCTGCCAGGGGTCTTTGAAAGGAATACAGAAATTGGAACAGATTTGGTGGGTGGATGAAAACAGGGGAAGTGGAAGAGTGAAATGTTTTGATGGGTAGCATTGACATCCTTGTTGTCTTAGAGATGAGGAGAGAGACTTTTGCTTCTATTACTTGTACCTAGCAGAAGTGAGATGGGGCCAAATTTTCAGCCACATCTGTTATGTGAAGAGAGACTAGAGTTGTAGGTTTACCCTTATGCAAGTCACTGGATCGTTTTGTAAATGTTTTCTGTAGGTGGTGTAGAAAAATAAGTGAGTTTTTTTTTTTTTCACAGCCAGACACTTTAATTAATGTCTGATAGACATGAAATTGTTGCATGTCAACTTGGTTGTTATTTTGAGGAAAAACCAAACAAAATAGTTACCCTGTTAATTTATGTCCTAGTGCTTCCTCTACAGTCTGTGCAGAATGTATTAGTGAAGGGAGCTAAGATTTTGTATTTTTAAACCATATAGATAAGTTAAAAAGAGCATAACTACTTTCCTCTAACACGCCTAACTTGCTTTATGTATGTAACGTTATAGAAAACTTTAGTTTAAAATGTGTGTAGTAGATAAGATCCAAGTAACATTTTTTTTCTTTTAAGTTCATCAGTATCTGTTCAAATTGTGAAGATGAAGGCCAAAAGGTTTACATATTAATATCCTCATATCAAAAATGGGGAATACCCCTTTATGTCAGGTCAATTCTGTAATGATTTTTTTAATTTACACTATCACAGTATTTAGACAATTGCAGAATTTATGTCTTGTTATTATTACTGCTGTAACTGATTTTTCTTATGGCCCATGTTTTAAGAAATCTTTTCCGATAATGACCCTTTAGAAAAGCTATAAAACTTACCAGCATACATGCGAAGCTTCCCTTTGGATACACTGTAACATCACTATGTGATCTTGAAAATTTCAGCTGCTGGAGGGTATTTAAACTGCAGTTTTCCTCAGAATTGCTTGCTTGCCAAGTTTGTATACATTCAGGTTCACAGCTGACTTTATGGCAAACCTAGTTCTAGAAGGTATGTAGTTCAGTGCATAGTAAACATATTTTCTGTTACTTTTGGGATGAATCCTATAAAAAAAAAACTCTTGTCTTTCTAAAGGGGTCTCTGAACACGTACAGGTTCTGTGACAACGTATGGACGTTTGTACTGAATGATGTTGAATTTAGGGAGGTCACTGAACTTGTGAAAGTGGACAAAGTGAAAATTGTAGCATGTGATGGAAAAAGTAAGTATGGAATATGATATAAATAAGCTGAGACACAAGGCTTGATCATTTATAGAAAGCTTTGACTCAAAGTCTGATTAACGATTGATTATATTATTCAGACAAAAGTAGGGCACTGCATTCGTTTTTACATATGATAAGAAATGAAAGAAAAGCAAGCTAAGCGCTTCCCAAACTCTTAAGCACAAAATATGAATGTTAGAGACTGCTGTACACCTGTTCTTGGGAAGTACATACAACTAGAGTGACTACAAAGTCAAAAGTAATCTTAATTCCACTTCTGTGTGGTTTTTTTTATTAACCACTTTGGTAGGACAGCACCATGTTTTACTGAATTTGAGGAGTGCTTTATCAGTCAGAGCAAGTGATTGTCTGAGAAAACTGTTGAAGCAATTATTATTGGATTTGATGGCAGGGAACACAAGCACATGAAAAGCTTACACTAGCATTTTTAAGTCATATTGTAAGATATATGTATTGCTCAACAAGCTCACTGTATGTACACTGTTCACGGGAGTTTATTTTCCATATTTCCTTGATTGGACTACTTTGGCCAATGTTCCTTTAAATTCTTTACTGGAAAAGGTCTTTTAGTGACTTTTGTGGCAAGCTGGTTTATAACTTTTAAAACCACCAATGTGGCAGCATATCGCTAAAGATGCGTGACGTGATGCTGCTTCTTTCATTCTTGGGGAGTAATGCTAAAAGGAATAACTGAGTATGGAAAAGGCTTTATTTAAATATATGCTAGACCTCTGAAATAGGTTCTTTTGTGGCTTTCTGATCCTGGCATAATTACAGGTAGTCACTTCAAGTTGTAGTTTTAAAGAGTTATCAGAATTTAGTGTTTGCTCAAGTTCTAGTATTAGTCAAGCATATAATCTTACTCTGTTTATTTTTTGTGTACTTGTTATAGCTAGTGGAAGAAACCTTACTTTCTAAGAATTAATCATTTTCACTCCTGATAAAGTATGCAGAAAAGATTTAAAGAACTGGGTGACTTAAAGTTGCTGTTAACATTAGTGTCTTTTTTTTTTTTTTTCCCACAAGAAGCTGACTGGCTAAAGGAGTGTTGTAAACACTGACTTGTCTTTCTCCATATCCAAGTTATGTACTTTTGCTGTAGCTCTAAAAGCCACAGAGCAATGACGGTAGTAATACCAGAAGTTGCACTGGTGTTAATGGGTGCTTTTGACAGAACTTCAGAGAATTGGTCTCAGTTGTTTTACGAAGGTCATGCTCATTCTTGCATATCATAGAATGTCCAGGCTGGAAGGGACCTCCAAAGGGCATCTAGTCCAACCCCCCCTGTGCCATAAGCAGGGACATCTCTAACTAGATCAAGCTACTCAGAGCCTCATCTAGCCTGATCTTGAATGTCCCCAGGGATGGGGCCTCCACCACCTCTCTGGGCAACCTATTCCAGTGGTCTATCACTCTCATGCTGAAGAACTTTTTCCTCACGTCTAACCTAAATCTACCCTTTAAATTTACCCTGTCAAAATGCATAGTAAACTATAGCCCACATTCCTTAAGAGCTTATGCAAAATGTGCAAAACTTTCTTTGTAGTAGATCATGCAGTTTAGCTAGATGTACTTGTTGCTGACTGCAATGAAGTGTCTCTGTATCACTACAAGTTAGAGCAAAGTTTCTTGTAATTTGTTATTAAGGCATTAAAAATGTGTGTGTACGGCCTTGAAGGTTTGTGCTCTCCCTTCCTGGTGTTCCTAACTGAAGAGAAAAGAGCACAAGTGGCTCATACATCACATTGATAGCAGTGGAGGGGATTGTGTTGGTACAGAACATGTTCTAAATGCTTGGGGTGAATGCTTTTGAGCTTGAGGAAGGTATTAGGGAATAGTATTGCTTCTCTTTAACTTTACTTAACTGCAGGGGGGCTATGTATTACTCACTTTCTTTTTTCTTTCCTAGACACTGGTTCCAATACTGCAGAATGAAGAGAACTGTGGTTTGTCTGCAATATTTTGTGTTAATATGCAGCACTTTCCGGAGAGAAGCATGGAGAGGGACTGTGTTCATACTTAATTCTTGTGATGCAGATATGAGTTAATCTATACTAGAAGGCGTCACAGAATGACAGTGGGAGAAATACCTGTAGCATTTCTTCAGTTCACCTTATAGGGCATGAATACGATATTACTGTTTTTTTTGTTACAAATTACAGAAGATATTGTTGCCTTTTTTTGTTCAAAATTTCTGTAATAAAATTTTATTTAAAAACTTATGAATGAGTGTTCACTGGAAAACTTTAATATAAGATGTTCTCCCAGTATTGTCTAAGTGTCTTTAGACATGCAAATGCAAAGGTCTTTCAGTTACAGGGTCCTTGAGTATGGTTGCACTGGCTAGTTCTGCAAGAAATGACAGTTTCAGAATGGAGGACATCAACAAATGCTTAGCAGCTCATGCTGGCCAGTATATTTGTCTGTTTCTTACTTCAACTTTCTATCTATGAATTGGTCCATTTGATAGCTTTAGCTAATAATACACTAACTCAAGTATTAAAATTACTGCACAGCTAATCAGATTGAAATAATGAAACTGAGTCTTGTAAGATTGCGCTACATTCTCAACAAATGTTCACGCTGCTTGTTTTAATGTTTTTGTAATTGTTTTTTGTATTTGTGGAATACATCTAATTGCACAATTGGCCAACAAGATTTCAGTGGAATTGCTCAGCAATGAATTCTGAGATATCAGATGGACAAATTTGCTCTTTTTAGACTTAGACATTTTACTAATCTCCTTAACATAGTTTTTTCACTAGAAGTATGATTATTATATACCAACAGATTATTTGACTTAGCAGCAGTGGCTGTTCTGGTGTGGTCATAGGAATGTTAGCTGTCTTGGCAGTCTCAAATTCATTTATTTTAGACAGTAGGCTACCTACAGTCCACTGGAAACTGGAAACCGTATAGAAGAAGAGTCAGGGAGTAACTGTTTTCACATCATTCTGTGTCTTCAGTTTGTGCAAAAAAACTGGAGCATAATTTACAAGTTGAAGCTATTTTCTATGTGTCAGTGGCACAGTCTATTCAAGTACTAAAGTCTATTCAAGTACTAAAGCTTTGGTAGCTCCAGACTGCTGTATTACGGTTCCCTAAATCCTACCTTTGCATATCAAAGGATATATATTTGGGGTTTGGTTAACTTCCGCTTCCCTTGCTTTGAGTGAGACAGGAGTTCACAAACTTGCTTGCTAGACTATTCCAAGTATTACGTTCACCATTTTTTTTTTTTATTTTATTTTTTTTTTTTTTGTCTTATATCTATGCTGAGTGTCCTTTGCTGCAAACTGTAGATTGGTAAGTAACCATTTTTGAAACCAGAACAGACTATCGCTCTCATTTAAACTGCACAGTAAATATCTGTTTAGATCATTATCTTAAGGGATGCAAATGTGCATCTGTACTGTGGTTTTCTCTTTTTCTACATCAGACTCAATCTTCTAGGTCTAAGTGTTTTTTCTTGTCTAATAATCACATGGTAAACAATTTCAGCCCTTGTAAATATAACTGATTCCTACATCCAGCTCTTTGTAGTCTCTTCCTGTCTCTGGACAGAAACTTCTCAATCAACAGTTCTCTGCAGCTTTTGGACTCCCTCGTAATGCAAATAATTAGACATCACATTTTCCTCCAGTTAAGTGTTCATTAGCATATTTGCCCTCACATTTTTCCATTGAAAACAAATTTAAGAGAAGCAAAATTGTACTGATGATGTGCGATTATAGTGCAGAATCGATTTATGGTTACGTTGCATTGGTACTCTATTGGATTTCTCTTGTGTTTCAATAGTTGTATACTAGTACTTTAGCACTCCCAGGCTTAGTGCTATTCTAGCTGTTAACTGAAAGGAAAATAGTTATCTGAAAAAGAAAATATTGTAGTGAATATGTATACTAAGAAGAATCACGAATGAAAGGAGAAACAACTTTGAAGACAAAGATGTCTGCAACTTAGTAATCACTGAAAGTCCAATCAATGTGAACAGGAACCAATGTGAGAAATTATGATGTTCATTATTCAGGACAACTTTATTGACTTTTTTTAAAAAAAAAAAAGTAGTAATAATTCCATTGAAGCACTAGATTTGGTCCTTTGGAAGGAGAAGGTCATGGGATACTCCCTGAGCTGATGCATAACAGTAATAATTTGAATTTTATACCTATACCTTACTTATCTGGTGGCTCCTGTTTGGTGTGAAAACAGATTTGAAGGAAGCATTTGAAAAGGAGATGGACTTTCTAAAATTAATTTAAATGCTCTGTACCCAAGTCCTACTGTAATGAAAAAATGTGCAAATGTTTAACAATAATGTTCTTGATTAGCTTGTTGTCTAGCCTGATTTGAGTGGCAAAAAATAACAAAGATTAAAAATACATTAAATGTTACAGATACTTCTGAACTATTCTAAGATTTTTTTTCTTTTGCTAATAATAATGTAGGTTTAAATTCACACCAGACTAACAAGTTTTGGAGCAACTGTAATGGTGGGAGACAGGAAACAACCAGTTCATGGATGCAGTGATGAGGGGACTGTGTGCTGAGGGATTCTGTGTAATTTAGGCTATGTGAAAGGCTAGAAAGCATGCACAACCGAGGAGTAAGGGAATGTTCTAGGTGAAATGGCAAACAAATGAGTAGGAACAAGTGGGCAGCTGTAACATAGGCTTCTGTAATCTAGACATTCTTTTCTTCTCTTAAGCCAAGAAGTTCATGCAGAACTGGAAGAGAGAAGTTACCAAACAAAAACAAAAACTGAAGGAAACACAGGCCTCCTGTGCCTTGAACCTTTTGAATTGCTGCTGTCCGGCTAATTATTACTAGTATGAGAAGCTTTATCTCACATCTGGTTAATTTTTTAATATCACTGTTTAAAGTTTTCTGGTAACATAGCCTAGCTCTGGTTATGGCAAATGCATCAAGCTGTTCTGCAAACCACCTGTTTTCCACTCTTACAGTAGAATCTTTGTTTTCTGTGTGTTCTGTATTTACTTTACAAAATAAATATTTTGTTATGACTGTGACTACTTATTATTCCTAAAATTAGTTAACATATGCGTTTTCCATCTCCTTCGCAACAGTACAGTGTTAGCCAATGCAGGTCTCTGATACTTTCGCATCTGTGGGATGTTTCTAGGGCATACAATTAAAATCTGGATGCATACATACTACTGAGTTTACCTGGGTACACAATGAATACTTGAACTTTTGTGATCACTACTATCCTTTGCACTTGTGGTCTGTTCTCCTTGAGAGACAAAGGGCATTCTGCGCATATGCAACAGAGGAGCATTTTACAGCCTTGTTCCTTACACAGTTATGTTACAGTGCAGAAGCTCCAGGTACTACTACTACTTCAGTGTTTATTTGTTCAGTAAATATACTGTTGAAAACTGCAGAAGATAGTGTTGTTTTTGTGTATGTGAAGAACCAACATGAATAAGGGATATGGTTTCTAAACTAAACCTTCCACTATTCTGGTGTTCCAATCTTATGTGGCTTTTTTTTCCCCTCTGCTTTATACTCTATTCCTAGCTTGCCTCTAGTTTCTCTCTCTTGTGTGGTGTTATTTCTCAACTACCCTTTTTTCTTAAACAACCCATTCAGCATAAGGTCTTTATCCTGTTAACTCAGCCATCTCTTTAGAAAATGGCACATCAGGCATACTGAAGTGTAAATAGTCATTGGGAATAACCTTCCTGATGTCTAGAATTGCTCCACTGATTGCCTCACGGGGTATCTGCTATGGGATGAAGACTGCTGCCTACTCACTGCAGAAGAGGAATTAATTCCTGCAAATCTCACAGCTATTAACACAAGCTCTGACACTAGCTTGGTAGCACACACGCGTTCTGTCTCTAACCATGTTTCTGGCCTGGTGTTTGTCCAGGCCATGATCTTGTGGAGGCTGTTTTAGTTCACTGAAGGGGAGAGGAGCCAAAGGGAAGGTAAGGGGATCTGATGCTAATCTTCTTCCTGCTTTTTATTGTTTTACACTTTAACTTTCTTGTCACTTGCTATTTTTTGGGTTTGAATTTTAGCTAATCCTTCCATGTTCATACAATTAATGTGCTTTCTAGTCTTGGAAGATTTGTTGAACTTGGATCTAGAAGTGTCAACTGCAGTTTTGTTATACTAAGCTATTTTAATATCTAGCAGCAGACAAACCATCTCACTTGCTACAGCATCAGCATACTTGCTGCTGCCTATTTGGTTCTACAAGCCTTTACTGTTATGGACCAATTAATTTATTTGGTGGGGTTTTTTGTTGATTTTCTTCAGAAAGGTGAAAACAACTGTAACCAAAAAAAGTAAAGCAAAAGATAGCTTTGCAACTTGACTTTGAGCTGGAATGAATATTTCTATTTAGAAAGTAAATCAACTACAAGAAGAGAAGGAAAGAAAAACCACCAATACAGAAGTGGCTGTGGGTGACTGCCTGTGTTTAACCATGGCTTCCAAGAGAAAGGGTTTAGTGAATTCTGTAAGTGCGCAAAACAGGATGTTACCAGAAGTGAGGTGTTTGCTCAGTCAGGGATGTCAATACCTGGTTTCACATGTTATCAGAGAGACACAAACTAAACAAAAGGGCAGAGCAGGAAGAATTTATGATGAATTCCCAGAAGACAAGTTTAATCAGGATCGTTATGTACTTTTACACAATGGCTAGGTACAATGAGGTAGATGATAGTTACTCAAAACACAGATATTTGCATTTTGGCATCTCATCAACTTAGGAGATAGTATTTCAGTTAAGGTACTAGTGATTTGGTTTTGCTTTTCTGTACTCTAGAAGTTCCAGGGTGGGGAGAGGTGTGGGGGGAGAGACACACAGGAGCACAGTAAAAAGCATCTTAACTTTAATCACTGTACTGGGAAATGTGGACTTTTCCTTCACTGTAACTTAGAGGTTATCTTTGTTAGGAAAATAGCTTTGCTCAAAGTCAAATTTACTGTATGAATTAGCTATTATGACTTACTAGGTAGTAAGTCACAGATACATTAATATTTTTAGTTTTCACCTTGCGCTAAGAAGAGCCTGCACCCTCCAAGGAAGTGGGAAATAGTTCACTGAGAGTCTAGTCAATGTTTCATGATCACTGCTATTGCAGTCAGAAGAAAAAGGACACCCTAGCCCTGCTCCCTGAATCAATTTTATTCATAGCTGCAAATAGGTTATTGATACTTTCTACCTATACATCATGTTTGCTTCTA